GAGGTCATGTTGCAGCTGTACAAAACTCTGGTGCGGCCGCACTTGGAGTATTGCGTACAGTTCTGGTCGCCGCATTATAGGAAGGATGTGGAAGCATTGGAAAGGGTGCAGAGGAGATTTACCAGGATGTTGCTTGGTATGGAGGAAAGGCTGAGGGACTTGAGGCTGTTTTTGTTAGAGAGAAGAAGGTTAAGAGGTGACTTAATAGAGACATACAAGATGATCAGAGGAATAGATAGGGTGGACAGTGAGAGCCTTTTTCCTCGGATGGTGATGGCTAGCACGAGGGGCGTAGCTTTAAACTGAGGGGTGATAGATATAGGACAGATGTCAGAGGTAGGTTCTTTACTCAAAGTAGTAAGGGCGTGGAATGCCCTGCCTGCAAAAGTGGTAGACTCGCCAACTTTAAGGGCATTTAAATGGTCATTGGATAAACATATGGATGATAACGGAATAGTGTAGGTTAGCTGGGCTTCAGATTGGTTTCATAGGTCAGTGCAACATCGAGGGCCAAAGGGCCCGTACTGCGCTGCAATGTTCTACGTTCTATGACTGATAAGTTTCTCAAAGATAGGCCCGAAACGTCAGCTTTCCTGCTCCTCTGTTGCTGCTTGGCCTGCTGTGTTCATCCAGCTCTACACCTTGTTATCTCTGATAAGTTTCTCAACCCCATTTTCCTGCTTTCTCCCCATAACACTTGATCCCCTTGACAATCAAGAGCCTATCTATCTCCATCTTAAATATACTCAATGACCTGATTTAAAATCAGATAGTCATGATCTTTTTGAATGGCAGAGCAGGCTCAAAGAGCTGAGTGGTCTGCTTTTATTCCTTGTTCGTATGTTAGAATAAGGCATAAGACTGTGTTTTGATAGAATGACCACTTGCCTCCTACCCTGTACATACTTTCCCTATGTAAGTGACACGTTTGTGATCTTTGAATCTGCACCCGCATATAAGGATTTCCCTTCAAATCTGTGCCTCCTTCCTGCAGTTAAATTCGTTTTGGAGATGGAAGAGGCTAACATGCATTTTTTTTTTGTTCTCCGTGTGGTAATTGAGAAATCTGCTAATGTGTCCTTCACCAGTGATATTGTACATTGAGATTGTGAAAAATCGATGTATTGCAACATTACCTTTTTCAGCAATATTGTAAATATGGCTCCAGACACCTCATAAGCTTTAAAGTCTTGGAAAAGATCTGTGGCACAGGTTGTGGGTGAGGTTGTTGACTTGCTCGCTGAGATGGCTGGTTCTCGTTCAGGTGTTTCGTCAGCATGTTAGGTAACATCATCAGTGAGGCCAGCGATGAAGCGATCATCACTCCACTGATGATATCACCTAGCATGATGACAAAAAGTCTGAACGAGAACCAGCCAACTCGGCAAGCAAGTCAACAACCTCAACTCACAAGCTTGATGCAGAGGTAAAGCACATCCGAACTGTCCTGATCAGATCATTATTCTTTGTGTATCATGCAAACTTGCAAGGCTGCCACTTTGATCTGAAAGGTACCTGCTTTGCCTGAAATTGCCCCAAAAAGCAAGTATTTAAGTTTGAACAACAAGCAAAGCAAGCTTTTTCACGCTGCTACTGTGCAGTGTCAATGCACGTAGTAATTTCTACAAACAGGTTGCTACCATTCATCCATGGAGACATTTAGACTATTACAGATTTGAGTAACATCATTTCTGAATTTCAATGCTAGTACAATGCCAGATATGTAGATTTTACATCCCAGTGATTGTCTGATGAAAGGAATGTGTTGTTTAATTTTGGTTGTTTGTAGCAGACAAAATAAAAACTCTATTCAAGCAGCCTGCGCTTGCAAAAACCAAAACAAAATACTGTCCATTGGAAGTGATTCTGCATCTGGGCAGCACTTGCTGAACAATCCTTAGTGCGCTAATAACAAAGTGTCACATCTGAAATGATCAGTCAAGCTGGTTATATTGGTATTATTCACCTGCTACATCAGGCAAGGGCGGTTTCCATGCAACATAAAGGAATACCTTCAAATCCTGTGACTTTTTTTTTGAACTAAGTCAGAAGTCACACGACACCAGGTTATAGTCTAACAGGTTTATTTGAAATCTCGCCTTTTCGGAGCACTGCTCCTTCATGTGAAATGGAATTTTTAAAATTAGCCGGGAATCAATAGTTTAATTTTGAATCAGAGATAGTAGGAACTGCAGATGCTGGAGAATCCGAGACAACAAGGTGCAGGGCTGGATGAACACAGCAGGCCAAGCAGCATCCCCATCAATAGTTTAATGTTGCCTGCTCCATGGCAGCACTTCAGTTATTCTGACACAATTTGCCAAATAATCAGCATCCTTTAAATTTGGCATTCTTGCATTTGTCCTGGTGAGTAAACAGCAAAAAGCTTTGGCCACATGGTACTTTTCATCAAGATTCAAGGGGTTAATTTTTGGGGCTACAAGGAAAGGGCGAGGGATGTGGGGGGTGGGAGGCTAAATTAGAAAGCTTTTTCAAAGAGTTGACCCATCTCAAAATGGGCTGAATAATCACCTGTGCTATGGGATCCTATGACTATAATAAAAGTTTATGAACAATTATCTGATTTGGAAGGAAAAGGATCTACAGTGCAAGACTCTTAGGACAGTTTAGAGTGTCAAAGTTACAAGGTAACAGTGTTGACATGGCACTGGAGTCACACAAGTGAGGCTACCAGGTTCTCTTTCCTAAAATGACCTTGAAAGATTAGTTCAAGGACAAGAACTAAATTCATAGGTGAAACTGGCATTAGATGCCTTTGAGATATTAAGACTTGCTTTTCTATCGTGAATTTACCTGGGTCAGATCACTGCAAGATTGTTCTCGGCCACTTTCAAAGTGGAGTCCCTGTTTTAAGCAGGAAATATAGCAGCCAATTTACACACAGCAAGCTCCCATAAACTGCAGTGTGGCCTTGACCAAATGATCTGGTTCGGTGACGTTAGTTGAGAGATAAACTTTAACCAGTGCACTGGTTAGAATTTCTGATCCTTGCTCACAATAGAGGCATGGGATGTTTTAAGCCTGCCTGAGAGGGTCTCTGTGTAACGTCTTATCTGGAAGGTGGTCCAAGAACAAAGAACAAAGAAAGTTACAGCACAGGACCAGGCCCTTCGGCCATCCAAGCCTGCGCCGATCTAGATCCTCTATCTAAACCTGTCACCAATTTTCCAAGGATCTGTATCCCTCTGCTCCCTGCCCATTCATGTATCTGTCTAGATACATCTTAAATGACGCTATCGTGCCCGCCTCTACCACCTCCGCTGGAAACGTGTTCCAGGCACCCACCACCCTCTGCGTAAAGAACTTCCCACGCATATCTCCCTTAAATGTTTCCCCTCTCACCTTGAAATCGTGACTCGTAGTAATTGAGTCCCCCACTCTGGGGAAAAAGCTTCTTGCTATCCACCCTGTCTATACCGCTCATGATTTTGTAGACCTCAATCAGGTCCTCTCTCAATCTCCGTCTTTCTAATGTAAATAATCCTAATCTACTCAACCTCTCTTCATAGCTAGCACCCTCCATACCGGGCAACATCCTGGTGAACCTCCTCTGCACCCTCTCCAAAGCATCCACATCCTTTTGGTAATGTGGCGACTGTCCCTCTAACAGTGCAGCGCACCTCTGGGAGTGTCAGCCTCGATTATGTGTTCGGGTGTTTACAACGAGGCAAAAATCAAAATGTCCTGACTTGGGTGAGAGAGTGCTGGTCATTAAATAAAAGCTGGAGGTGAAATGTCTTGAACTTTGACATTTTCATAACATACTTCCAGTGCAAAGTTAGGAGGAAAGGTAAAGGTTGAAACACTCTTGGACAACAGAGTTAAACAGGAGGGAGAAAGGAAATTGAATCTATAGAGGTGTTTTTTCCTCCATTTGCTGGTTTCCCATTCACATTAATTGTCCATCCCTAATTGTGAGCAGTAGTCTTTGAAAGTGGCATCACAGGTAGACAGGGTGGTGGAGAAGGTGTTTAGCATGCTTGCCTTCATTGCTCAGAATCTTGAATGTTGGAGTTGGGATGTATGGTGAGGTTGTACAGGATGTTGGTGAGGCCACTTTTGGAGTTCTGTACCCAGTTCTGGTCGTGCTGCCTACGGGAAGGATATTATTAAATTGCAGAGGGTTCAGAAAAGGTTTATCTGGATGTTGCTGGGGCTGGAGGGTTTGAATTATGAAGAGAGGTTGGATAGGCTGGGAATTTTTTTTTTGCTGGAGCATAGGAGGTTAAGGGGTGAATTTATAGAGGTTTATGAAATTGTGAGGGGTATATATAAACTGAATAGCAAAGATCGTTTCCGTAGGGTGGGGGAGTTCAAAACTAGGGGACATACTTTTAGGGTGAGAGGAGAAAAATTTAAAGGGGACCTGAGAGGCAACTTTTTCACGCAGAGGGTGGTCCGTATAAGGAATGAAGTGCCAGAGGTGGTGGTAGATGCAGGAATAAGTACAACATTTAAAAGACATTTGGATAGGTACATGAATAAGAAACATTTAGAGTGATATGGGTCAAACACAGGCAAGTGGAACTATTTTGCTTTGGAAAATTTGGCTGGCATGGACGAGTGGACCAAAGGCTCTGTTTCTGGGCTGCCTGACTCTGTAACCACATTGCTGTGGGTTTGGAGTTACAGAAACCTGTCCCACATGTTAAGGATGGCAGATTCCCTTCCATTAGTAAATGAGACAGGCTTTTACTGCTGTCCCTGATCATCAATTCCATGAGTTGAGTTCCAGATTTATGAATTGAATTTACGTTCCAGGGTGTTAACCTGAGCCTCTGGGTTAATAATCCAATGACGTTCCCATTTGCCACCAATTCCCCCATAAAGCAGTGCAGCATATATTTTTTAAAAAATTAATGATGATGCTATCAAGGATGGAAGATCACGTTCATGAGGAGACGCTGCAGATGCTGGGAACGTTTCTTCTGGAGCAGAGAAGATCAGGTTGAAATTTGAAAGTTTATTTAACATTTCAACAGCAGTAACACTTTGTGAATGGATGCACAACAAGTTGAGTTGTCCTGAGGATGAGTCCTAGGTGCTATAGAAATGCAAGTTCGTTCTTTTCAGTTTCTGTCCAAGTCTGATGGATTCTCCTTTGACTTTCAGGCAAAGACAAGGTCATTTTTGTCACCAAGGAGGATCACGAAGCTCCCAGCAGTGCTGAGTTAATTGAGGATGATCCCAATGACCCTTATGAAGAGCACGGTGAGTGTTTGCATTGAGTGGATGTTTGTTCATGATGGATATCTGTAAGCTCCAGCAATGGTCAATGACTAAGCTCTGTCACCAAACAAAGATCCCTCTGATCTACCTGTGGTAGCCATGCTTTCAGTTGCCAAGGTCCTAAGCTCTGGAATTCTTTCCCTAAAACTCCCTATCTCTTTGACATCATTGTTATAATTGAGGAGAAACTTGAGCTGCGGAGGTAGATCAAAGAGGTTGGGACGTTTTTCTTCAGCGAAGAGAAGGCTAAGACAAGATTAGGTAGAGGTTTTCAAAATCCTGAGAGACTGTACAGAATAGATAGGGGGAAATTGTTCCTGCTCATAAAATGATCAAAAACGCGAAGGCACAGATTTCAAGTGATTTGCTAAAGAAGCAAATGCAACGTGTGAAAAGTTCTGAGGAAGAGTCATATCGGAGTCAAAACTTTAACTAACCAGATGCTGCCAGAACTGCTGAGTTTCTCCAGCAATTTCTGTTTTTATTTCAGATTTCCAGCATCCGTGTTTTGCTTTCAATTTTATTTAAGAAAATGTTGTTCACTTAGTTCAAGTCTGGAAGTTTGGTGGAGACAGATTCAATTGCGGTATTCAGTAGGGCAATGGTTGTTTATTTAAATAGGGCCAAGGTGCAGGTTTATGGAGAAAGTGCCATTCTCCTGCTCTAAGTAACAATTCAGCTCATTCAGAGACCAGGTATAGACATGATGGGCCAAATGGCCTCCTTCATTGTAATCTATGATTCCGTGAAGGCAATGTTTAAAATCTCCCTCCTTTTATGGAGATCTTGGTCACCTGTCCTGCCAACCTCATGTGTAGCTCAGTGTTAAATTGTGTCTGATTTACATTCCTATGAATCCCCCTGAGGTGAATCAGAGCGAGCTACATCAGTAACAGGTGTTATTGATGCTATTGTACGTGAAGGAAGCAGTTTGGCCTTGTGTGTAGACAGCCAACCAGCTGACAAGCACATGCAGTGACTGGTTTGTACGATGGACTGGGCTGAGGCTGGACACCACTCCTTCGTGTTATTGGCTGGTACGACCAGCCTTATTGGGAGTGGAGTTGTGAATGGAGCTGAACGTTGTGCAATCATCAGCAAACATCCCCAGCCCTGGCATTGTTAATCAGCTGAAGATGTTTGGGCATCGGACGTGACCCTAATGAAACCAGTCCACTCCCCTGTGGGCAAATGTAAAATATGCCATGGATCACTGTTGATAAGAGCAAGGGTATTATCTACAGAGTCCATCCAAAAAACCCAGGGAAACACAGTTTATCAGCTCATCCTGGCTGTCACTTCCACAGACTTTTGCAGCTCAGAAAGAGGCCATTTAATCTATTTACCTGTGCTGGCTGTTTGAAACAGCTATCCAATTGGACCCACTCATGAAAGTTACGTCTTTCAAGTATTTATCCAATCCCCTTTTGTAAGTTATTGTTGAATCTGCTTCCACTGCCCTTTCAGGGCATCAAATATTAGTGCAGAAAAAATAAAATAAAACCACTCTCCTTGTCTTGTCACTGGTTGTTTTGTCAATCCATAATTCCATGTTCCTTTGCCATTGGGTACAGTGATGCCTCCTGTATTCTATCAGAATTCTCATTGATTATGAACACTCCTATCAAACTTCCCTTTACCTTCTCTGCTGTAAAGGACAGCAGTCCCATCTTCTCCAGTTCCTCCACATTCAAGTCCCTGATATAATTCTGGTGAGTTTCCCTCTGCACCCCATCAAGGGCCTTGAAATCTGTCCTAAACTGTGGTGCCCCGAATAAGACACAATGCTTCAGCCTGAGCCCCAAGCAGTGATTTATAAATGCATACTGCAAAATTGCTGCTGCAGTTCTCTGCTTCAAGCATCAAGTCAAGGGTTGCATCTGCTTTTTAATCACCTTTCCAATATTTCCTGTTAGACTGTGTACATACACTTCCATGTCTGTCTCTGTACCCCATGCAGTCCCTGTCCTGGGGGGACAGTGTAGAGGGTGCTTTTACTCTGTATCTAATCCAGTGCTGTATCTTCTTTTAAGTAATCCACAGGATGTAATTACTTTTGCAGTTCTGACTGGGCCAGCATTTATTGCTCATTTGTAATTGCCCTTGAGAAGATGGCAGTGAGCTACCTTCTCACGTTGCTGCAGTCCATTTGGTGTAAGGAGGCCCACAATGCTGATGAAAGTGGGAATTCAGTAATGCTATGGAATGTCAAGAGGCTCTGATTGGTAGCTCTCTTTTTCAAAATGGTCATTGCCTGGTATTTGTGTGGCATGAATGTTACTTGCCACTTTTTTAGCACAAGCCTTGATATTGTCCAGGTCTTGTTGCATTTGAATATGGATTGCTTCCATATCTGAGGAGTTGGGAATGGTGCTGAACATTGTGCAATCATTGACGAACATCCTCACTTTTGACCTTATGATGGATGGAAGGTCATTGATGAAGCAGCTGAAGATGGTTGGGCCTATGACACTACCCTGAGGAACTCCTGCAGAGATGTCCTGGAGCTGAGATGACTGACCTGCAACAAGCACAACCTTCTTCCTGTGTGCCAGGTATGACTCCAACCACCAGAGAGTTTTCGCCTTGATACCAATTGATTCCAATTTTGCTAGGGCTCCTTGATACCACACTCGATCAAATACAGCCTTGACATCAGGGCTGTCACTCTCACCTCACCTCCAGAATCCAGATCTTTTGTCCGTGATCGGAGCAAAGCTGTAATGTGGTGAGGAACCAAGTAACGGAACCCAAACTGAGCATCAGTGAGCAGGTTAGTGCTGAACAGGTGTTGCTTGATAACATTGTTGATGACTCATTTCAACATTTTCCTGATGATCAAGAGTAGGGGTGGGGGTGGTAATTGGCTGGGTTGAATTTGACCTTTTTGTGCACAGGACATACCTGGGCAATTTTCCATGTTGTTGGGGAGACGTTAATGTTTTAACTGTACGGGAACAGCTTGGCTTGGGCCATGTCAGGATCTGAAGGACAAGCATTCAATAGCATTGCCAGAGTCCATAGCCTTTATAGTATCCAGTGCTTTCAACTAGTTCTTGAAATTATGTGGAATGAATCATATTGACTGGATTCTGGGGGACTACTGGAGGAGGCTGAGATGGATCATGCACACGGCACTTCTGGCTGAACTTTATTGCATATGTTTTAGCCTTATTTTTTACACTGATGTGCTGAGCTCCCATATCATTGAGGATGGGGGTATTTGTGGAGCTCCCTCCTCCAGTTATTGTTTGATTAGCCACCAGCATATACAGCTGGATTTTGCAGGACTGCAATGGGAGCTGGTGGTGTAGTGGTAATGTCACTGGGACACTAATCCAGAACCCCAGGCTAATGTCCTAGAGACACTGGTTTGAATCCCACTGTGATTGATTGTGAATTTGAGTTCAATGAAAATCTGAAATAAAAGAATCTAGCCTAATGGTGACCATGTAACCACTGTCGATTGATTTCACAATGTTGTCCTTTAAGGAAGAAAATCTGAACACGTGTACCTGTCAGAAGTCTCACGGCACCAAGTTATAATCCAACAGGTGTATTTGAAAGGGGTAGTAGGAACTGCAGATGCTGGAGAATCTGAGATAACAAGGTGTAGAGCTGGATGAACACAGCAGGCCGAGCAGGAAGGCTGATGTTTCGGGCCTAGACCCTCTTCCAGAAATGGGGGAGGGGTAGGGGGTTCTGAAATAAATAGGGAGAGTGGGGGAGGCGGATAGAAGATGGATAAAGGGGAAGATAGGTGGAGAGGAGACAGACAGGTCAAAGAGGTGGAGGTGGAACCAGTATCAACATGGACTTCACAAGCTTCAAAATCTCCCCTCCCCCAACCGCATCCCAAAACCAGCCCAGCTTGTCCCCACCTCCCTATCCTGTCCTTCCTCTTCCCACCTCAAGCCACACCCCCATCTCCTACCTACTAACCTCATCCCGCCCCCTTGACCTGTCCGTCCTCCCTGGACTGACCTATCCCCTCCCTAACTCCCCACCTACACTCACCTTTACTGGCTACATCCCCGCCTCTTTGACCTGTCTGTCTCCTCTCCACCTATCTTCTCCTTTATCCATCTTCTATCCGCCTCCCCTTCTCTCCCTATTTATTTCAGAATCCCCTTCCCCTCCCCCATTTCTGATGAAGGGTCCAGACCCAAAAATGTCAGCTTTCCTGCTCCTCTGATGCTGCTTGGCCTGCTGTGTTCATCCAGCTCTACATCTTGTTATTTCAGGAGTATTTGAAATCACAAGCTTTCGGTGCACTGCTCCTTCGTCAGGGTCAAATCTGACCTGACGTAGTAGCAGTGCTCCGAAAGCTTGTGATTCCAAGTAAATCTGTTGGATAATAACCTGGTGTTGTGTGACTTCTGACTTTGTCCACCTCAGTCCAACACTGACACCTCAACATCATACTTACCTGGTGTAAGGGCAGCGTCTTTTTATTTTTGCATCTTTTGCATTTTTCAAAAACAATTGCAATGAGAAACGAGCTGTTTTTATAAGAGGGATTTACTGGAATGACTGCGTAATTTCACAATAAGAAATTCAATACCTGTGGGTTCCTGCAATGTGCAGAGATCAGGAGCTGAGCAATTGTTTACAAGTAGCACTGATTAGTTCTCAGCTAACTGAGCAGGTTGGAACTGGAAACAAGTTACAGAGACACAGTGAGAGAAAGGCACAGAGGCATGTGCTGTCGTTCTGCAGAGCTGAAGCTACCTATTATCTGCTGTTTTAAAAAAAAAAAATTCAGTTGAAGCTTGAAGAAAACTAGTTACCTTTCTTGCAGCAGTTACTGTCAGCTGTGAGTTTTGAATTATAAATCAGACATTTCCCAAATGAATCTGTCACTCAGTACTTCTTACAAAGCAGTGGAAGTTTCCAGAGCAATAAGGGCCTGACTAGCTGAAGTAGGATCATCTTGACATCAGAAATGGGGAGCAAAGAACATTTAACTGACTTTCCAGTAC